ACAAGTAAATGGAAGTAACAGTGAGATTGGTACAGTATTAAAGGATGACATTTCCTGGGGGGACACTTCTCCAGCTCCTGTTGTTTCTTTCCACGTGTAGCTGTGATACAACTACACGTGTAGCTGTGTAGTGGCCATCTCCCACCTCTCACTGCAGCTCCCCAGAGAATGTGGCTTCATCTGGTTGGTGAATTTGGGAGGAGTAAACTGGACACTCTCATCTCAGCTACTCTTTTGTTCTCTGTTGAGAAGTCACCTACAGAGAATATGAGTTCTGCTCTTCTCTCCAGGAAGCCTGCCCTTGTTCATACCGTCTGTGGCTGAGTGGATATGTCTGTCTAGTTAAGGAGATAAGTTGGTTCTCACACTCAGCTGAATCCTCCAAATTAGCCTCTATCAGTAGTAAATGTGATATTTTAGTTCTTGTCTGCTTACTCTTTTGTCTTTATCTCAATTTGTTCGGAATGCTGGTGGGGAAGAAAGGCACTAGTCGTGGAGCCTTCTGAGAGACCCTCGCTCCGTCCGTCCCTTTACCCATTTTGTGAATGGGCATGCAACCTGCTACCCCCTGGACATTGTTCAGACCACTCATCATTGCCCACTTTGTCTGTCTCATCCACCAACCTAGTCCCCCATCACAAAAACAGATACTATGGTTACCCCGACTCGTCTTGCCTTGTTTTAAATGAACTCAAGCCAGTTTCAAAGGAACACCCTTTCCTCTGCTAAATCTACTATTTCATGGTATCTGGGACTTTGCCAGGTATCAGTGTCAAGCCATGGGAGCTTAAGTTTTTCCCTTTAGAGAAGCAGACACTTGTGTGGCCCCCTCATTCTCTATGATTCTTCAGAACTCAGGGCAGCATCTCTGTGGCCACATCTGCAATTTCCTCCAGCTCCCTTGGAAATAATTCATCTGAGTTTGAACTCATTTAGAGCTGCTTTGTACTATTGCTTCACCTATCTTAGATTTCAATTCCCTCTTAATCATGTTTGTTCTACCCTTTTCAGTTTTAAGGTCATTCTGCTTGATAGAGAAGACAGAAGCAAATTAGGGTTGTGTTCTCTGTCATCTGTTAACATTATCCCATCTACCCCAAGCCATGGGCCTATCATTCAGCCCTTATTTTAGCATCTTGCTTCAAAGGTAACTTCTTTCTTTTTTTGGTCAGTAACAATTTTTTTAAGCTGCATTTCATCCTGGGCTCTACCAATTCCAATACTATTTTTGTACATCTGTGCCTCTCTTGTGCTTTCCTGGTTGTTTGGAGATCTTTCCATCTTTATGCAAGGCTTTTAAATATCTGAGCTCATCTGGGACCCCTCTGTGTGGTTACTTAGCTCCCCTAGGCAGCTTCTCCTGCTTCCTCCACCCCACACTTACGCCCCCTCATCCAGGTTCTTTGCATTGATACACTCTCAGAGATCTTTCTGCCATATTGCTTTGTGTTAAAATCTTGGCGTTTCTTTATGTGTTCTCTATATCCTGCACACATCACTAGATCCATATATAAAGTCTTAAGTCTTATTTTTGCCACACTTTGCTTTTCCTCCCTTTTCAGAATAGCTGGACAATTCCACTATTCTTTCAATGTCAGAACGCTGGTTCTCCTCAGCTAACAACAGATAGTCTGGCATTTTTCTCCTTATTCCTGAATTCCAATTTAAAGCCACTTCAGCCAGGTGAACAATTCTCTTGCTAAACTCATTCTCCCCCACCTCCCCCCAGGCATTCTCGGATGCTGAGTAAGTGGTAAGCAACTGGGATGCTCAGGGCACACACAATGGGTCAAGTATTCACGTGGATAACACTTGCAAAGTCCCTTCACCTCTCCAAAGACATCAGCTTTATCGTCTGTAACATGTACAACTACCTACTTCCTACCTTCTGTCGCTTTGTGACAATTAAATCAGGAGAAATCCATAGCAGTCTCTACAAATGCTCCCACGAGTCCATCTGTCTTTCTCTGTCATCTGCCCTGAGCGTCAGGCCTGTCAGTCTGGTTTCATTCTACTTCCTGTGTTTCTAAGCCAAACCCTTCTCTCTGACAGTCTCTACACAGCTGGACTCCCATACAAACCTCAGGTTCTAGGCCTCCTCTATTCTTATTATATTGAGGAAGACAGAGACAGTCAGGAATATGGGATTGCCCCAGGGCCTGGATTTTATTTCTGACAGTCCCAAAGTCTGATGTCTACTGCTCTTGCAGGAAGCCCCAGGGACCCTCCTCATGGGAGAAAAAAAAAAAAAAAAGGAAGATGGTTTGCCTTGTCCTTTGAACATTATTTCTCTAGGGATAGATGGGCAGCTATTCAGAGATGGGCAGCTTTTGGCCTGGTACCAAAAGTTTCTGGAAATATTCTCTACTCATATCCTGAAAAAGACCCTAATGATGTAGAGATAGGCATCCCACAGGCAAACATGACACCTGCATAAAATGTCTTAGAAGGATGCACAGTTTCTTTACAGTTAAGATGTGAGAGAGATCACTTTTTACTCGTCATGTTGCTGTACTATTTGAATTTTAACTATGGGTGAGGGTGAGCACGTGCTTATAAGTTTATTATGATGCCTGACTGTGAGCCCTTGGGGTGAGAAGAGTCCATTCCAACTCATCGCAGTGGTGGCTGGGATTTGGATGGGCAGCTCACATGCTCTCCTGTGATAACTGAGCTGAGATTTCTGCAAAACCACTTACTGAATTCTCAGCTATCATGCTAAGGGCCTTACCTATGGTCTCCGTTAGTCCCCATAACAACTCTGAGAGGTAAACGTTGTTACTTCAGTTTTACAGATGAGGAAGCCAAGACTTGTGAAGTTAAGTAACTTGCCACACAGTGTGTGGCAAAGCAAAAGTTTGAACACAGACCTATGTCCAGAATCGATTCTTTTAGCCGCTTCTCTATGCTATGGTAACTCCGCACTAACATGAATCCTTACCCTGTTACACACACACACTCACACATTCACACACACATACACAGAGTACTTACACAGGCACATGCACAGGGATGTGCACACACACATACAAGTACATGCAAATACATGCACATACGTATGTACACACACACACACACACACACAAACACATTTTCCATCCGCTTCAAAGTGATGTTTGAGACTGCTTACAGGTGATTGGGATTGGTTAAAACATTCAGGTCCTGTTTCACAGTTGGCAAGACAGCGCCCCCTCTGATTTACACCTCTGAAGACTGTGGTGGAGACACCAACCTTGCCTAACCAAAGGGCTATCTTTCAGGGGAGGGCTAGTTGCCAGCCCAGAGGACAGTGTCCCGTTGGTTCTTCAGCCTCCCTGTTGAGGAAGGTCTTTGGGTTGAAGTCCTGTCTCAGTGTGGTCCTCTCCTCAGGCTTCTCACCCTTGTTCACCTGTTTGCCACTCACTGTGTTCCTCTGTAGAGGTCACCTCTTCTGAGCCAGGATTTTGTCATTTATAAACTGAGAAATGTTGTATCAAGGGATCACTAAGAACTTTCTATGACACCATGACTGTGCTTTTCTAAAACGGAATCTTCGTCTGCAAGAGGAAGTAAAACTACCACCTGAGGACCCAGGTACTTCTGTGTCCTTCTTCAGTAGCCACCTGGTGGGGCATCTGCCCAGGTCACAAGCCCCTTCTCTCAGAGCTAGACCAGTGACCATGTTCAACAGATGATGCTGCTCCCACCACCATGGTCCCTACAGGCCCCTAGAAGCATTTCTTTATTTTCTAACTCTCTTCAGTCTCAAGTGAAACTATGTACTTCCTTTTACAATAACCCCTGGATGTTTACCCTAAAACAGTCCACAGAAACTAGCACAATGTCTCTGTGGACAAAGACCAAGGCTTGTGTTGCTTCAGCATCGCGGGAGGCAGACTATCAGAGCGGTTAAGGAAGAGGTCTCTGGAGTCAGAGAGACTCAGGAGTTCAAGTCCCAATACTGCCTCTTTCTAGCTGAATGACCTCACATACCTTATTTAAAATCTCTGAGCTTCAGCTTCCTTATCAGTAACTTCAGCATAATAATTCCTACTCCATAAACTTGTTGGGAAGATTAAATGAGAATATGCGTGTCAAGTGCTTAGAGTCTGGCATGGATAAACACACATACCCACACAAACACTCAATAAGTTGGTAGCCATTATTATTCCTCACTGTGCCTTGCTGGGAGGGAGCAGAGTAGGTGTGTAATACATTTTCTGTATTTTGATCCAGTGTTGTGTTTCTAGACTCCAGACCCAGTAGAGAGTATGGTGAATGCCCTTCACCAACAGTGTCACTCTAGTGAGATTTGGTTGACATCGACGGGTCTAGAGTGGGAAAGTGGAGGTGATGGTAAGGAAAGAAAGAAGGTCTCACTAGTTATTGACGCCTCTTAGTATAAGGACAGACACAGAGAAATCCTAAAATGGTCATCCTCTCATCCCCCCAAAAGCAGATATTATCAGTTCAGAAAGTTGAGTAACAGGACACCCAAAAGACAGACTACTGTACAAGTCATATGGATGAATAGCCTAAGCATATTTCAGTCTTTTCCATTACTGGAGGCCCAGGTGTCCAGGCTGGGCTAGCATTCCCCCAGCACAGTAGTCATTAGACTTGGAGGATAAGAGAGGTGCCATTTGTCTGCATCCACTGAAATCAAGGTTCAGTGAAATCCAACACACTGCTCTCTGCCCAGCACAGGCCACATCAGGGGCTCATATTTTATAATTTCCCTCCAGTTTATGAGACAAGCCTTGGTCTTCAAATCAGTAAGAGTGAGGAATGGCTCTACAGGGGAACATGTTTGAATCCAGCTGTCGAAATGTGGGCAATTTGTGAGTAATTAGTTGATGTGCTCCAGAGGATAACTGAAAATGCCCAGATTCAAGCCCAGGTTTCACCAGCTGTTACGGAGTTCAAATTCCCTCCTCCAGGTCTTAGAGAATTGTATTAGTCTGCTCAAGTTGCTATAACAAGATGTCACAGATGGGGTGGCTTAAAAAACAGACACTTACTTGTCACAAGCAGGTGCCCTGATCATCTCCAAACTGTCTTCAGAGTCCTTCGTCCTTTTTCTTGAAGAACAGCACATATCCATAGCTAAATAGCTCTGTGGTCCAGTCCTACAGGATTGAAGAAGTCTGACAGTTGCCCTTTATTTCGTCTCATATTTTTTCTGTTCCCTGTCATTCAGACTGGCAGTGTCTTCACTGGTATAATTGCATCTCTGTTCTTAGCTTCTGTTGAAACGCCTGAGTAAGTCTGTGAGTCACACCCATGATCTCCATCAAATGGCTGTTCAGTCACTCTCTTAGTGCTCTCTTCACAAGCTTTCTCACGTGTTGCAATGTGGAGAGGCTGAGAAGTTCCCCAGTCTTTGAGTTCTGCTTCCTTTTTGCTGAACGGTCTCTTCTTCAATTTGTCTCTTTCCTTTCACATTTTACTATAAGCATTTGGGAGGAACAAAGCTACTCCTTCAATGTTTTGCTTAAAAATCTCCTCAGACAAATATCCAATTTCATCACTTGCAAGTTCTACAAACACTATAAACACCAGAAAACAGTTCAGCCAAGTTCTATGCCACTTTATAACAAGAACCACCTTTCCTCCAGTTTCCTATAACATGTTCCTCATTTCTGTCTGAGATCTCACCAGAATCGCTTTTAGCATGTCTATCGTGTGCCTCAAACCTTGTCCAGCCTCTACGCATTACCCAGTTACAAAGTTGCTTCCACATGTTTAGGTATTCGTTACAACAGTGCCCCTCTTCCTAGTAGCAAAATCTGCATTAGTGTGCTCGGGCTGCTGTAACAAAATACCACAGACTGGGTAGCTTAAACAACATATTTATTTCTCACAGTTCTGGAGGAAGTTCAAGATCAAGGTGTTGGCAAATTTAGTTCCTGGTGAGGACCCTCTTCCTTACTTGCAGCCAGCCACCTTCTCACTGTGTCCTCACATGGCAAATCTCTCTGCCTCTCTCTCTCTCTTCCTCTTCTTACAAAGTCACTAATTCCATCATGAAGGTTCCACCCTCATGACCTTATCTGACGCTAATTACTTTCCTAAGGCCCCATTTCCAAATGCCATCACAGTAGAGGTTAGAGCTTCAGCATACAAATTTGGGGTGGGGAGAATACAATTCAGTCCACAGCAATAATTTTTTTTTTCACAGCAATACTTTAACATTGACTTTTTTACTAAAGCCTCTCCTGGTCCTAGGAGCCCTCTCCCCTATATTATTTGACATCCACGAATATTTTTAAGGAAAAGCAGGAATAGCTGCACCTTCCATTTTCCCCTATCCCTCTTCTTTAATTCCTAAATATTTGGTCAAATAATAACTGCTAGTATTTGTTGAGAATTTGCCAGGTGCCAGGCACTGTTCTAAATAATTTACAGGCATTATTAACCCTCATAACAAACCTACAAGATAGGGTTCTCTTCACAAGCTTTCTCACTTTTTGCAGTATGGGATAGGTATTACTAATAACCTTATTTAAGGGAATTCCCTGGCAGTACAATGGTTAGGACCCCGTGCTTTCACCACTGAGGGCGCAGGTTCAATCCCTGGTGGGGGAACTAAGATTCCTCAAGCTGTGCGGCACGCCCCCAAAAAGTAAAAAAACATATTTAAAAGATGAGAGAATGGAGGCCTAGAAAGTTAAGTAACATGCTCAGGGTCTAGAACTGAAAGATCCAGAATTTAAACACAAGCTGTCTAACTGGAGAGCCCACCTCTTAATCATTATACCATACATCTCTGACCATGTTACGCCTCTGTGTGTGTTCCCTCTAAAATTCCCTTCGTGCCCCATTCCATCATATAGCAAGCTGCTACTCACCCGTCAAGCTCATGAAGTCTTTCCCTGACTCCACTGGGAGAGTTAGACCTGGGATCTCCTCTCTGTCCCCACAGCACGTGGCCCATAACATGGGCACGTTTCTCCAGCACTCCTGTGATGGTAGCTCACGTACCCATCCCCACCAGACCAGACAAGGCGGAGGATCCTCAGCGCAGGTCTACGTCGTCCTCATCTTTGTAACCACAAAACCATGCACATGGGGTTTAGTACATTGTTGTCATTCAAAAAATTATTGTTGAAGTTAAAATTAAAAAGCAGAATTTGGTAATAAACTGTTTGAATTCAACAAACTCAGTAAACTGCTTGAGTTCTGACCTCATAATGAAATAGCTGAAGTCTAATTTTTCTGCTGCGAATCTGTCAAGGATGAAATAGGATCCTGGATCCTACCAACTCCTCCTGGGAAATATTTACTTTCTTTACCACCGTTCGCCTCAGCTCTTGCCTGAACGACTGCAATGGCCCCTCATGGACCCCCTGTCCCTTGTCTTTCCCATGCCAATTCACTCCCCTAGGCACTACCAGAATGATCTACATAAGCAGATCCAACCATGTCACTTTACTGGTGCTTTATTTAAGCTATGCTTTGGTTTATCCAAGCACACCTTCTAGTATGCTTACCTTGCTACTATCCTTTCAATGTCCCCACCTCCCTCTCTCCTTCCACACACCCAAGGGTGACCAGCGTACTCTGTTGGGGGTTATTGGTGCAACCCCACTCATCCAGTTGCAGTGATGCATTTTTAAACCCTTAAATAACATCACACTTTAACATCAGCATTCAGGGTTGAGGGAAGATGCTGAAATCATCTTGCAGGCTCAAAGTACAGAAATTTTAAACTCATTGGTTTTCCATGCTGACCAAGTTCTATTCAGCTGGAAGCAAAGAAATCAATTGCATCACTTTTCACTTAATTAACCTTGAAGCTGCTGGCCTGGGCATTCTCCCTGCCGAGCCAGCACAGCCACGCATGCTTCATTCCCCTCCCCATTAGTCAACTGAAGGTGTCATCCCTCCACAGTTAATTCCTAGTCCTATAACCATGTCCCCTGGGCACCTGTAGCCCTTCACTCACATCTACATTGTGAAGCTTATCTCATTCTGCCTCATGGAGTAGACATCTGTCTCCTCACCAAGCTCCAAGTCTGAAGAGGCAAAGAAAATGCTCACTCATTATTTACCCCCAGGACCTGGCATAGAGCTGATACTCAATTAATTTTCAATAAATGATGTCACATCCCGGAGGAAAATTCCCAAAGCCATGCTTAAGAATTAAACTTCTCATTCCACTTCAATAATTGGACAGGTGTCCTGCTGGCTTGCAACGCAGGGCACCCTCTCCCCCTTTTCTCTTTAGGTGGGTGGGTACACAACACTCTGTATGCGTCCAGCTACCAGAAATTCAAGCCACACCCTGGCATCCGACTGACATCCTCTACCCAGTCCATGTGGGTAAACTCCTCCTTGGGTTGTTAAAAAAAAAAAGTAACCAGCCTAAGGTCTTGCTAGTCTTAGAGGCATTCAGAGAGTTAAAGGAGAATTATGAGACGGAGAACATGAGTGCTCTTTTTTATGGGTCAGTGGTCTTTGGATGGTCCTAAAAAGAATGCAACCCACGTCCCCTCCTTGATCCTAGTCTTCTCATGAACCAATGGCTGCCAACAATAATTCCATTTGTGCTTCTAATCTAAGGCCAACCTCCTTTTATACAGTGTATCCTATTCCCTCTCACTTATGGAAGGACATCACTCTAGCAACTGTCCTTATTCTCCCCTGTATCATTATATTTTTCTCACTTTATTGAATCATGTCTATCATTATACAAAAGCACTGTAATGAGAGAAGAAAAAAGAGAGGGAGGATTTGCAAAGTAAGAAACAAAACTCATTATGTACTAATAATATGACTTCTCCACATAAAACCCAGAGAAGAAGAGAGAATAATATGAGAGGTTAGCAAGGTTTCCAATTTTTTAAATGAAAAGCATCTCTATATTAAAAATAATTACTCCAAAAAATAATTGTTAAAAATTATATGATATCAGGAGTAAAGCATGAACAAGATATTTTGGATTTAATTATAAAGCCTAATTTAATGGCATAAAAGAAGACTGAAATAAATTGAGTGATATACCAGATTAATGGGTGGGAAGATTCAACACATTAAAGATAACAAATTCTCTCCAAACTTAATCGAAATTATCAGTGAAGTCCCAATCGAAACTCCAACAAAGTTTTTGGCAAAACTTGATAAGCTAACGCATATATTTATATGGAGGAGTGAAAAATCAAGAATAACCAGGAGAATTTTGAAGAAGAAAAATATGGAGGGACCTCACCTTATCAGTGGACTTGTTATTACACAATAAAAATTAAAATAGTACGGCAGGCATGGAGGTTGCCTGTGCAGTATCCATTCCCCCTTATTCCTCTCTAACAAAATCCCAATTTTGTTTAGGGTGGCAACGTGAACAGTCAAAATGACTCACCTTCTCAGACTCTCTTGCAGCTATTGTGTCCATGTGACTCAGGTCTAACCAACATGATACGTTTACTGATTGGAAATGCTATTATTTGAAAAGTAAAAGGAGGACTTGGGGATATATGTCTTTTCCCTTTGCCTTTATTTTTTCTTCCTCCATAGAACGAAAGTGCTGTACGTGAAAGTGCAGGAACCATCTTGTGACCATGAGGAAGGAAGATACACAATAAGATTAGTGGAAGGGGAGGAGGAACTCTGAAGGGTTTTTTTCCTTCCCTCTTCTTACCTCTGCTTTTTGCTTACTTTCCTACTTCCCTATTTTATTCTCCTTCTTGCTTGTAGTTTTCACTTCCCTTTTCACACTTCTCTTTTTGGGGGGTGGGGGGCAGCACCATGGCTTGCAGGGGTCTTAGTTCCCCAACCGGGGATCGGGGATTGAACCGAGTTCCCAGTAGTGAGAGCGCAGGGCCCTAACCACTGGACTGCCAGGGAATTCCCTTGCACTTCTCTTTTCTTCCTTCCCGTTTTAAAGAAAAACTTTAAAAGAAAATATCTATGACTTTTCTGTAGAGAAAAATATGTATGACATATTCATGATATTGGGGTAAGAAAACATTTCTTAAACAACACACAAAATCACTGACCACAAAAGCAAAAAAACCCAAAAACCTATGAATTTAACTAAAGTATAATTTTAAATATCTATACAACAAAAGTTACCCACCAAGAAAATATTGAGAGGAAGAGAAATAAATGAAAGCATAAGCTAGATAAGGTGATGAGGGAAGGTAAATTGAGATTGGAAGGACCATGTAAAGAGCATGAAAGAGATTGTTATAAGCAAAGGAAGTCTCTGTGCAAAGCCCCAGAGTTAGGAAAGGCTTGGTAGTTAGGAACTAAAAGTGACCAGGGTGACTGGAGGTAGAGACAAAGAAGGAGAGTCATGGGCAATAAAGTTGAAGAGAAAAGCAAGAGAAAGTCCCACGAGCCTTGTAAGCCACAGAGTAAGAAGTCTGGACTGACTTGTGCAACAGAAAGCTCTTAAATGGCTATGAGCAAGGGGACCCACGAGTTCCATGAGCTGATCACTTACAGCACAGTGCAAATAATGATTGAAGAAGGATGACTTACAAGGCACTCTGAAGACCTACTTGCTTCACATGTTGAGACCAACATTATGAGGACACATTCTCTAAGTCATCAGAGAGCTAACAGAAGGAAGAAAAGGATTCCAAAAATGATGCCACACCTCCAAATATATACATATAAATGTGATCTTCATCTGGAATGGCTGAGAACTAAGGTTGCTGAGGTGGGAGGCCAGGGCTGAAGGAAGGATTCAGAGTGGGGGAACTAGGTGGGTGACAAGGAACTGGCCTGGACCATTAGGCAGCCAGAAAAGGAAAGCCTGACTGGCTTATATCAAGATTATTCAGGATATTTTGATATCTGGGGACATAAC